CCCGGAAGGTGGACGAGGTCTGCACCACCCCCGGCTGCGTGATGGCAGGTGAGCCCCACTTCCCAGGCCTTCCACCGCCTTGCGCAGGGCTGGGGTTTCTGCTGATGCTGGCACAGGCCCTGCCCAAGGCCAAAGGGGCAGCCTGAGACATGGTGGAGGGCTGGGTGGGCTGAACTGGTGGCGGGGTGGGGGGACTCGTGCTTTCCTGGCCTTTGGCACCCACTGTGCACCAGCCCGCCTCCAGCGGCGAGGCCCTGTGACCACAGCGCTCCAGCCACCCAGAATCCCAGGGGCTCTTGTTGGCACTTCCAGAAATAAGGGTCAAAAGAATGGATGCACTCTTCAAGTTTCCTCCCCGGGATCTCTGAACTCGGGGGCGCAAGCTCTATTAGTGCACATGGTGTCACGTCGCTGATGAAGGAACTCAGGCCATGGTTTTCCTGCCTGTGTCGGGTCAGGAAGGCCCCAGCTTCAAAGGGGGCCTAGGCCAAGGCCAGGAAGAACAGAATTCGAGGGAGGAATCTGGGTGGAGGGTCCAGCCCGGCCATCCCAGCTGAGAGCAGCCGGGAACCAGGGGGCCTGTCCCCTGCACACCCTGGGTTCCTGGACAAACTGTCCCTTCCACCTGAAGATACACCCCCAGTAGAAAGAGTTGCCCCACCCCCAGGGACCAGGTACACTGATATAAGGGCTCCAGGTAGAGTTGGGGCAGAAAGGCCCACCAAGAACCAGGTGCTGGGTGCCACCCACGGGCAGGGCTGCTAACTGAGCTCCCCTGTGAGCAGCCCTCCTCCACCCACTGCCTCGGTCCCCCAGCCAGCCTGCTGGAGTCCCCACATTTGCAGATAGAGAGATGAGGCTGGAGGCACCCTGAGTTCAAGGACAGTGGTTGATAAGTGGAGACTCTAGCACCTGAAACCAGTTGGGTGGCACCCCCCTTGCTACCAACCTCAGTGGCCCAGAGAGGGTGGTTAACTTTGCCAGAGCACACAGCCCCAACTGGATCCACCACAGGGATGAGATTATCTGAGGCCGAGAGGCAGCTTTCGGGCCGCCCCAATCCCATCTCCCTTCTTCCTCTTCACCCCCGGGACAAGCAGCTGCCAGGATCCTCCAGAACATGGACCCATCCAAAGAGCCATGTGATGACTTCTACCAGTATGCGTGTGGAGGCTGGCTGCGGCGTCACGTGATCCCTGAGACCAACTCGTGGTACAGCGTCTTCGACGTCCTTCGCCACCAGCTGGAGGTCATCCTCAAAGGTGGGAGCAACCATAGCTGGGGCTGCAGGGCGAGGCTGTGCACTCTGGAGGGACAGCCCTGGGCTGGAGTCAGGTGGGCGGGGCCTCACCCCCGGGGAGCCCTCCTCGGTTTCTGCCTCCTCTTCTGTCCAGAGGGTGCAGGGAGAGGGAGCCCCAAGAGCAGGCCCAGCAGCTGGGGGCACCTCTCCCGAGCACTGCAGGAGGGGTGGGGACCTCTGGCCTGGGTGAGGAGGGACATCCCTCTGAGTGCTATGGGGTGGGGATGAGGGAGCACTGACCTGGTAGGGAAGGGACACCGCTCCCCAAATGCTGTGGGGTGGGGAGGCTTTGCCCCGGGCCTCTGTCCAGCCTCCTCCTGTGCCCACAGGGGTGCTGGAGAATTCCACCACCAAGGACCGACCAGCCGTGGAGAAGGCCAAAAGGCTGTATCGCTCCTGCATGAACAAGAGTGAGTGGGGGACTGCCAGGAAGGGGCTGAGGCAGGAGACCCAGGACCTCACAGCGGCCCCTGGGGTGAGAGGGGGTGCCCTCAGAACTCATGCCAGGGGTCAGTCTGCGGTGGCCCCTCCTGGCTACTGGGTCTGGGCTCCCTGTGGGCAAGGATACACCTTGCATGTGTATATGTGTGCACATAGCTACATATGACGTGTATGTATGTGTCTGTATTTGTGTATTGTGTGCATGTGTATATATGTGTATGATGTGCGTATGTATTGTGCATGCATATACATGTGAGTATATGAATGTGTCAATTTGTGTACTGTGTGCGTGTATCTATGTTAGCAGGTGTGTGTGCACATATGTGTTTGTGTATGACTCCACTCCCTTCTACCCCACTGAGCTCCGGGGCACAACCTGTCAGCATCCTGAGTCCCTGTGATGCTGGGAGTTCAAGTCCTCAGGGTTCCCCCGCCCGGTCCCCTCAGGCCCCTACCCTATTCTGAGCCTGGTCAGGACCACCCGTCGCTTTGAGCCTCCTCCTGCGGCCACAACTCCTTTCTCATGCTCGTGACCCTCTGGCCTCTCCTTCTCGCTGCTCTCCTGTCCTGGGGGCGTTTATCAGTCTTTGGTAACCTTTCATGCCGAGTTTGGTTTCTGCCCCCCCCCATGGCCAAACACTGTGACAGGAAGGTCTGTGCCACCAGGAGTCTGGGGAGTGACCGTGATGTCCCTCCTCAGGTATGATAGAGAAGCGAGACTCTCAGCCCCTGCTGGACATCCTGGAGGTGGTGGGAGGCTGGCCGGTGGCCACGGACAACTGGAACACGACAGCAGGTAAGGCCAGGGCCTGGCAGCAGTCGCACACAAAAGACAACTCCAGGTCTGGGCTCTTGGAGCCGATGCCCCCCCACCCACTGCCCCTAGCTGCCTGCTGTCAGGCACCCCAAGAGCCTAGCCCAGCCAGGGCCTACCTCAGGGTCCCAGGAGCTGGTGCCTGCCCACACCAGGGGGCTCATGCCTACTGGGATGGGATCCCTGTGGCTGATCCCACCCAGCCCTGCGGAGGGGCATCCCTCCTAGGACCTTAGGGATGGCTCAATGCCCAGACCCAGGCCCACACCCCAGGACTCCCCGCTCTGAGCACGTCCCACTCCTGGCCCAAGTCTAGCTCAGCAGGGCAGCACCCATGTGGCTGGCAGCCCCACACAGTGCTGCACTCAGGGCCCAGGGTGGGACAGCATCTCCCATCCCATAGCCCCCAAGACCCACAAGCAACTCAGCCCCGGGCTGGGCAGGGTTCCCTCTGCCCCCGAGTCCCTGGCTCAGGAGGCCAGATTCACCGTCTGACAGGGGCTGGGCTGGGACCCTGGGCCCAGCGGGCCTCCCAGCATGGGCTGTCTCCTCAGGCCCCAGGTGGGGGCTGGAGCAGCAGCTGGCCCTGCTGAATGCACAGTTCAACAGGCATGTCCTCATCGACCTCTTCATCTGGAACGATGACCAGAACTCCAGTCAGTACATCATCTATGTACGCACCGCGTCTGGGGGCTGGGGTAGACCGGGGGTGGGTGGTGGGTGCCCGTGTCTGACTAGGGGCCTGGAAGCACAGTGGGGGGATGGGCCAGGGGCCGGGAGCCCCGGGGTGTTCTTAGGGCCCAGGCTCCCTGCTCCCGGCCACGTCTGTGGGTCCAGGATGGGCTGCCAGCAGGGCTCCTGTTGGGCCTTCTGGCCAAGTCAGTGGCCCCAACAAGGCCCGTGCTCTGGCCAGAGTAGCTGGTTCCTTGATCAGCAAGGCCTTTCCCACCAGGGCAGGAGGCTTGACCTCAAAGGGCCACCACTGGTCACAGACTGGAGGCCAAAGAGAAACAGGAGAGAGATGTGCACCCCGCTCTGAGGGGGCTGAGGGTGCCGTGAGGCCCTGCGGGCAGCCTGGTGTCCCCCACTCCAGCCTGGTATCCCCTCAGCCACTAGTGCCCCCCAGCCCAGCCTAGAGTCTCCTCAGCCCCCAGGTCCAGAGTGGTGTCCCTTCAGTCCCCTGGTGCCCCAAGCCCAGCCTGGCATCCCCTCAACTCCTCAGTCCCCCACAGCCCATCCTGGAGTCCCCTCCACCTTCAGGTTCCCTCCCCAGTCCAGTCTGGTATCCACTCAGCCCCCAGGTCTCCCCCAATACCGCCTGGTATCCCCTCAGCCCCCTGGTTCTCCCAAGTCCAGCCTGGTGTCCTCTGCTACCCCACCCCCCACCCCCATCACTCAGAGCAGGGTCTGGGATCCTGGGTCGGGTCACCCTCAAGCATTCCCCCAGGTGTCCCTCAGGCACGGTCCTGGGGGCAAGGGTCACTGCCCCCCCAGCCAGCCTCCCGGCCCCGGCCCTAGATCGTGCCCTCTGTGTCTCCAGGTAGACCAGCCCACCCTGGGCATGCCGGCCCGGGAGTACTACTTCCAGGAGAACAGAAAACAGAAGGTGAGTGGGCTCTGCTACCCAGCCCTCCCCGCACCCAGGGCCCCTGGGGGCCCTAGCCCTTCCTCTCCAGCTGGTGAGCCCTGCGTGGAGCCCAGCACAGGACTGCAGATGCAGACAGGACCTGTTCCCGCCAACGTCCCTGGACCCTGAGCCAGACCCCGGGACACGCACAGCCCCATGGGGCAGGCACTGCCACCCAGGCCTGGGGTCCTGCTTGGCGGGGCTCCCAGGAGGCCCGACGAGGCAGGAGCGCTAAGCCTGCTCCTCACCAGGGAACTCTGTGGAGAGAGGAGGGAGGAGGGGCTGCACGGGAGGGTCCTGGAGGCTGGTAGGCCCAGAGTTAGTGGGGTGGAGGCCAGGGAAGATGGTGAACAGGTGGGGACTGAGGGCACCGGACACCAGAGCAGAGTGTGAAGAGCAGAGAGGCCTGAATGGCCCACAGTGCCAGAAGCAGTTCAGGGGCTCCCAGTGGAGGTGGGCCATGGGCTGGACTTTGAATGATGGGCGGGGTCAGGAGAAATGATAGTGTGGCCAAAGAAAGCAGCTGCAGTATGGGACAGGAGGGCTTCCAGAGCCCGGCCAAGGGCCCCCAGCCAGAGCAGGAGGGACTGGTGAATCTTCAGAGCTCATGTCGGGTCAGGTCCGGCACTGACTGAGAGTGGCCAGGCAACAGCCGGCCAGATGCCAAGCAGGGTGAAGAGGTAGCCCCTGTGGTCCCTGCCTGAAACAGGGAAGCCCTGTCAGGGTGGGAACACGGAAGGTGGCCCCGGGACCAGCATCCTCAGGACCCAACTCCATTGCTGAGCCAAGGAGCACTGGGGTGGGACGACCTGAGTCAGCCCTGACCCAACAGCTCCAGGCTTCCACTAGGCACTGCCTCTGACCAACCTTTAGAGGCAGTTCCAAGGTTGAGTACAAGCAGCCCTGCAAGGAAGGTCTCATTTGGAGGCCCAGGAGTCCCCAGGAGGGCTCATGCCATGCTAGGTAGGAGGGAGTCAGGTCCAGAGCTGGACGAGTGTGGCCCAGCCCACGGCACCTACTGCACCCCCCCCCCCAGCTTGTTCCGGGATTGGCTGGCACAGTCTCCAGCGCCCAGCCGGGCACGGACATCTGAGATGCTCCCGCTGCAGTGCTCCATGTGTCCTGACCCCCGCTGGCTGAGGCTGGCGCATAGGCGCCCAGGGGCCACTCTGTGTCTTATTCCCACCCCACCCCACAGAGAGCACCGTGGGGGTCCTGGTAGCCGAGGCTGCCCAGCCCCATCCTGCATCCTTTGGCCCAGGTGCGGGAGGCCTACCTGGAGCTCATGGTGTCGGTGGCCACGATGCTGCGGAAGGACCTGGACCTCCCTGAGAACAGTCCCCTGGTGCAGGCGGAGATGGCGCAGGTGCTGGAGCTGGAGACACGCCTGGCCAACGTGAGGCAGGGCTGGTGGGTAGGCGGGGACCGGGACTGGTGCCCACCTCCCAGGTGACCACCATTCGGTGCAGGCCACGGCACCCTTGGAGGAGCGGCACGACATCACCACTCTGTACCACAGGATGCGCCTGAAGGAGCTGCAGCGGGAGTTCGCCCTGAAGGTGAGGCCCAGCCCATGCAGAGGCTGCGCTGGAGGGCTCGGGGCTCTGTAGAGGCAGGCAGAGAGAGGGCACGGTGCCTCTTATGGACGCTGGAAAACGCCCCATCCAGAGCGCCACCATCTGATGGCCCAGATTAGGGCACTCAGGGTGACGTGGCATGGGCACTGATCCTCCAGCCGTCCTGGGACAGAGTCGCTGCTGTGAGGTGCTGGGCTGACTCGTCTTCTGAGCAGGAAACAGGCTCTGGGGCGGCTGCTGCTTCCAGGGCCTGCAGACTCCAAGTCCTGCCCGGAGCCCTCTTACGCGGTTCTGCCTTCTGCTTCTGCCTGACACCCACAGCTCCCTCAGCCCCAGCAGACTCACGGTGGGGCCGGGCTCCATCCTGGAGCAAAACTAAGGCTTGTCTCAGAAGTGTGTTCCAGGATGCGGGGGCGGGGCATTGCATCAGAAAGCAGGAGTGAGTGAGGGTAGTGGGCGGCCGCACCACGCGGCCTATGGACTGTAAATCTAGGAGAGAATGGAACCCTGCAGCCATCCGGGGCCAAGGCAGTGACTCCCAGGCTGGGCATGGCAGCATGCGCCCTGGCTCACGAGCGGAGGGTCTGGCTGCGGAGGACATGGGCTAAAAGGGTGCGTGGGAAGGATCAGGGGGCTCAGGCGAGGTGGGAGCAGACATAGGGGGCAGCCTCTGGGTTTATTGTGAAGGTGGAACCCACCAGGCTTGCAAACAGATTGGGTTCAAGAAGTGAGACCTTGGCTGGCCTGAGGGTACCATGGACACGGCAGGGCAGGGTCAGGGCAACGTCAGGAGCCTGGGGCTCGGGTGTCTGGTTTATAACATTCAGGCTCGGCACAAAGTGAGCATGTCCACACCACCAAGACCTCAATCATTACTGGCATTTCTGAAGCACTGCACACCCCTTCCCAGCCCCGCCTCTGTCTTCCTCCCCAAAGCAGCCTCCACCCTGGTGCCTCCCACCCCAGCAAGTGACACCCCTGGATGGCACCCGGCTGCTCATCACACTGGCCTCTGCAGCCTATGGGCGAGGCTCTGCCCGCCACGGCATCCTGCTGTCCTTCACACATCTTGATGGCTGAATGGTCTTCACCTCGAAGGACACAATCTCTGTCCCCGTTCCACCATCGTTGGGCCTTCCCTGAGTAATGTCACTGTTCTGGCACCTGCTGGGTGCCTGCCAGGGCACAAACTGCCAGGCCGTGGGAGGAGCATGTGTTCAGTTCAAGCTTAGGAGCAACGCCCAAGCATGGTGCTTTTCCCGAAGCCGCTGTACAGATCACTTATGGCTGCGTGTGACACCCCCTGGCCAGCGCTGGGCCACGGCCATTCTTTTCATCCACTGTTTTAGGGATGTGTCGTGGAGTTTTCTCGGGGTTCAGTTTGACGTCTGAGGCCACGAGGCTGAGACTATTCTGTGTCCTTGAGCCAGTGGTATCCTCTTGGCGAAATGTCTGCCGGTCTCGCTGCCTGGGCTACCTGCCTCTTCTGGACTTCATGTTTAGGGTTCTTTATATATTTCGGATGTGACTTCATGGTCATTTTGTGTTCCAAGATCTTCCTGACTTGACAGCTTGGTTTCTTATCCTCATAACGCTTCTTTTGCTCCAAAGGAGGTTATTAAATGGTCCAACGTGTCAGTCTACCAAAGATGTAGTGATCTCCTCTTCACGGCATTCTTTGTGCTCTGATGAAGAGATCTCTTCCTTGTCCCAGGGTTGTTTAGACCTACAATCCACCCTGAGTTGATTTCTTTGTGTGTGTGTGTGTGTGTGTGTGTGTGCCACCAGGGAAGTTTTTTTTTTAACGTGGGGTACAATTCAGAGTCAGGTTTTAATATACAATGAGATGTGGGAATTATTCTGTTTCTTCCTTCCAGATTTCCAGCTAATCCAGCACCATTTGTTGTAAAGAATCCTTGGGCCTGGAGCCATTTGTGCTATCACCTGTGCTGTCTGCGTGCTGGGCTCTCTTCCACCCCCTGGTTTCTGTGTCCGTGGGAGAAGCACTTGCCACCTTCATGGATTGTAGCTTCCCCACGCATCTTGCTATCCAGAGTACATCTGACAGCTTTGTCCTCACAGAGTGTCTTGATTTTTCTTGGTCCTTCGTGTTTTCATATAAAACTTGAAATTACCCACCAATTCCACACACACACTCACTCTGCTGGAATTCTGGCAGGGATTGCCTTGAGTCTTCATACCAACATGGGAAGGATTGACACCTTTACAAGGCTGAGTCACCCATCCATGAACCTGATATATACAAGGGGGACCCCAAACCCCGGAATTTGTTTATAAACATTGTGTGTTTATTCTTCTATGTTTAAACTTGTCACCTTCAAAGTACTCTCCCTTTGATGCAATTCACCTATTGAGATGCTTTTTCCATGGCTCAAAACAACTTTTTGTTGTTCATTTTGATGCCTTTTTACGCTTCTGACATTTTTTATTTCACCTCTTCCATATTGGCAAAATGTCTCCCGTTGAAGACTTTTTTCATCCAGGGAAACAACAAAAAACAGTTGCTCCGGGTGAGATCAGGTGAATAGGGAGGACGGGGCACAGGGGTCATGCCGTCTTTTGCCAAAAACTGCTGAACACTCAGCACAGTGTGGGCAGGTGCACTGATAAATCCCCCATAATGAAACAGACAAATACATTGAAAGAATCTCCCAAAAAATTCCCTGAAGCTGAGCACAACCTCTCACCAAAATGCTAGCTGGTGCATGGATGCTGATGGGTTCCTAGAACACTCACCTAGCGAGGGAAGCCTGTCCTACAAGGGACCCACCCTCCAAAAGATAATTCTGCTTTTTTGGGAGGAAGTCCCCCTCACATATGTTTCCATTTGTTTTATCTAATTTTTCTCAACGAACTTTGTAGTCGTCTATCTCAAGGTCTTACACATATTTTATTAGCTATATTCCTAGATGTTTGGTATTTATGTTATTGTAAATTGAATCACTTTGCAATTTTCTTGTTTGTTGCCAGTACATGGAAGGGCCGACTTTGTAAATATAGCGATTTGGCCCCATCCACTTACTGGCTCTGGTAGCTTATCTGTAGATCATTTACAGATTTTTACACACAAAATCACTTATGAAAAATGAGTTTTATTTTCTCTTTCTCAGTCTTATTGACTTCATTTCATTTTTTTGTCCTATTGAACTGCCGAGGACTTCCAGCATAATGCTGTGATCATGGTAACATATCCTGTCTCTTTCCTAAGACCAGAAGAAAAGCTGGCAGCATCTTTCCATTAAACTGCACATTAGCTGTGGCATTTTTTCTGTTGTTGCTGCTGTTTCCCACGTTCCCTTAATCAGATTCTAGCACTTACCTTCTACTTTTAGCTTGCTAGGAGTTTTTATCGTGAATAGATGGCAGATTTTATGAAATGCCTTTTCTGCATCTGTTAAAATTACCATGTGATTTCTCCTTTATTCATGGTGAATTAGATTGATTTGATTTTCAAATGTTATACCAAACTTGTATTCCTTGAGAAATCTGATTGGACTGTGATGTGTTAGCACCATACACAGGTATGGCTAAATTCTCTTTGTGAATGCTTTCCTTAGAATTCTTGTACCTGTGACATAATTGAGACTGGTTTATTATCTTTTTTAATCGTGCCCTTATTTTGGTATTATGCTTATTCCTGGCCTCAAAATTCAAGTTGAAAAGCATTTTCTCTGCTCTGGAAAGTTGCAGTAAGTTTGGCAGTGTATTTTCCTCAAATATCAGAGAGAATCACTGGTAAAGCCAGATAGCCTGGAAGGCTATTCGTGTAATATTTCAAATCAAAGATTTCGTTGATTCCACCAACAAAAGTATTCCTACTGGCCGGACTCAGTGACTCAGCCTGTAATCCCACGCTTTGGGAGGCCGAGGTGAGTGAATTGCCTGAGCCCGCGGGTTCGAGACCCGCCTGGCCAACTTGGCGAGACCTCATCTCTACAATAAATCAAAATAAAATTAACCAGGCATGGTAGCGCATGCCTGCAGTTCCAGCTACTTGGAAGGCTGAGGCGGAAGGATCGCCGGAGCCCAGCAGGTCGAGGTTGTGGTGGCCGGGAGCGACCACTGCACTACAGTCTGGGCAGCTGAGTGAGACTCCAACTCAAAAAAAAAAATTAAGAGTATTCCTATTTTCTGTTTCTTCTTTTGTCATTCATGCACAGTTGTGTTTTTCTAGGATGTGCCCATCGTACTTGGGTTTTCCAATACATGGGCATGCTCTCCATATCCTTCCAGTCTGTCAGCTCTGTAGTGATGCCACACACCTCTCCCTGACTGCACTTTCTTGCTTATCCTTGCATATTCTTCAGGGGGGCTGGGTTTCTGAGACTGCCTCGCCCCCTTTCCCCCCACCCCTTCTTTCCCCAGGGATTTAACTGGACTCTCTTCATACAAACGGTTCTATCCTCTGTCAAAATTGAGTTGCTGCCAGATGAGGAAGTAGTAGTCTATGGCATCCCCTACCTGCAGAATCTTGAAAGTATCATCAATGTCTACTCAGCCAGGTGAGGCCCAGTGAAGGCCCAGCAGGCCCCAGCATCTTGCCCCACTCCCTCCCCCATCCTGAGCTCCTGCCCAGAAGAGGACATCACCCAGCATCCACCCTCAGGGGCAAGAAACATGCAGGGTTAGACCAAGGTGGCCAGTGGGGCCTCAGGTTAGAGAGGCATCTCAGCCTTCTGGGGCAGACAGGCTGAACCCAGAGGCTGTTGTCCTGTAGGCTTGCACCAGTGCCCAGAACCCTGTTTGGGGTAGAACCTGCTGACCAAGGGCCCCAAACCATATCTCTCCACATATCCCCCAGCAAATACCATTCACCTGCTCTTCCCCCAGGACCATGCAGAACTATCTGGTCTGGCGCCTGGTGCTGGATCGCATTGGCAGCCTGAGTCAGAGGTTCAAGGACATGCAGATGAACTACCACAAGGTAAGTGAGGCTGGCAGAGAAGGCTCCTGCCCGGCCCAGAGCCTGACCCATCATCCATTCACTCAGTGACGGGGAGCATATGGGGTGGGCTGGGAACTGAGGTCTACACTGGGGTCAGAGCCAGGAAGCAGACCACAGGCAGAAGTATGCTGTCAAAACCCCCAGTGTGGTATGAGGGGGACCAGCAGAGAGAACTGCTCCAGGGGTGACACTGGGGACCTCCAAGGCATAAAGAGACAGGTGGGGTGTGAGTGTGACTTCCAGGGAACAGAATCAGCTCAAGGCAGAAGAGGCAGGAGCAGGAGGCCGGATGGGGGCCCTGCAGGGGACAAGAAGGAGAGGAGGGCCGTGGGCAGCACATCTGGGCATCTGGGCTGCATTACATGCACTGAGGAGTCAGGAGCAGAGATTTCCCACTTGTGTGGTCCTGCTGGCTGCTCCAGGGGGTGGGGCCAGAGTGGAGGTCACCCAGCCAGGTGATGGGGTTGGGCCAGGGCATTGGCAGACGATGGATGCAGGAGAGATGTTGACGACCGTTGGCGGAGGATTGGGTACGGGGTGAGGGACAGAGGGAGGCCGGGGTCTTTGCTGGAGTTGTGGGATGGGTAAGGAGACCAGGGAGAAGCAGCTCGGGCAAGTCAGCACCCCTTTTGACATCTATAGCCAAGCTTCAGGGTGCTGAGTCCAGGAACTCTGGGAAGAGAGAACGGGCCACCTCCCTTTCCTGGATGGCAGCAAACCCCAGGCCCAGGTGTGAAAAGCGCTCCCTGGCGGGCCTGAGTCTGGGGCCAAGAGTCTTGTGTCCCTGAGGATGGATAAGCAGGGGTTCTTGCAGCCACTTCCACAACAGGGCAGTGGGCCCTGGGAGCCGGATGTGGCCCAGGCCTTGCCGGAGGTCAACGCCAGCCCTGTGTACCGGGGTGGGACCAAGTGCAAGCTAGCCTAACAGGTCGAGGTGGTGACGGTGGGGGCAAAGAAGAACCCCAGCTCCCCAGGGCGAAGGCCCAGCTCCCAGTCCAGGGAGCCCCCACTCAAAACCGCACACCCGTCCTTCCACACCCATGGTCAGCACCCAGGGCAGAGTCTCCAAGGTGATCCCCGCCCTCCACTGGACCCTGGGCACCTGAGACTGGGGAGGGGGTCTGCTCGCCCACAAACCCAGGGCCCCAAACAAGGCCTGCTGGGAAGCAGGTGCTGGTAGATGTGGCAGAACAAATGAATGAACAAACGAACCCACCAGGCACTGTATGGCACGACTGCGGAGGAGGTGCGTTGGCGTGAGTGCGTGAGCTACGTCAACAGCAACATGGAGAGCGCCGTGGGCTCCCTCTATGTCAAGGAGGCGTTCCCCAGAGATAGCAAGACCATGGTGGGTGGTCCTGCGTGTGTCCATGCCAGGGCACCTACCCTGGGGACACTGACCCTGCCCCGGGATGCCTTCCCCCCGCCCCTCGCAGAGGCATCTGCTCTGTGGTGCCTAGGGAGCCTTCAATTG